AGAGGACAAAACTAAAGTACAGTAGCAGAAGCAGTGCTACTTAAATAGAGTAGAGCAAATAGAGTTTGATAAGTATGAAACACTGAGTTGGATCAGTGATGTATATGAAACAGGTTCCACTGGGTTATATCAGTGATGAGGATGAAACATGATAGAAGTGAAACATGATGTAAGTAAAACATGATATAAGTGAAACACAATGGATATGAAGCACTGATGTAGGTGAAACACATCAAGTGATGAGATCAGTCATACAGTTGCAGGGTCAACAACGAATAGTTAGGAGAAGAAAAAGGACCCCCCTCCAATGCTGTAACATTACCCCCCTCTCCAGATTTGTTGTTTAGAGTTCCATTAAGCGTGATGCTCCTGTAGGTATCCAGGTTCATCAGTGGGACAAGGGAGTTGCCCAGGCTGCATGTCGTTGGCAGTGCAGAATTTATGGTGAGGGTGTAGGAGTCTACAATAGGAGCATAACCAATGCCAACACTCACTTTGAAGATGTCCATCGGTCTCGCATTTGGTACAGAAGTGAAGACAGCGGGGCATGGTGCCAGAAGGAGGAGTGATAATAGAGAACTCATAACATTTGAGGCATTCCTCTAAATTGGCTACTTTGAGGTGCATTCAACATTGGCTCATCTCTTCTTCTGCACAAATGAGCTCCGCCCCTATAGATCATTGCACAGTGAAGAGTAAGTCGATTTTTGTGTCAATGGCCCCGAAATGATCAACTTTATTAGTTATTCCTGGATCCTTGATATCTTGCAGTGATGCCCAAAGACTTTCCAACAAATTATCATCTCACGTCAGCAGGTACTCCCAAGTATCCTCCTCCCATTCCTTGTCTGAGGAGTTCCAATTTCCTACAGGTTCAGTGGTTCAGAGTGCATCCACTGGGGTTGTCGAGACTCATCATAACCCAAATGCTGGATTTCCCTCGATGGGAATGCCCATAGGAGGTTGTGTAATGAAATTGGCATAAGCTCCAGGGAAATGGGGTTGTTAAGGGACCTAACGACTGAGGATCAGGAGTTCAACGGTTAACTGGTACTAGGACTAATACACACTTATAGTCCTACACTGATACTAGACTTGTAGACTGAGCTGCTATATCTGATAGTGGTTTGAGAGTGTATACTGGTTGAAGTAGAGCTTCAGACTGAGACTGAATAGACAGCTGAGTCTATTACTGAGAACTGTCCCTATGAAGGTATGTAGGGAACAAGA